TGTATTGTTCCATCTCGTTTATATTGTTCTGTCTCGTTTGAAAGGTTCTGTCTCGTTTGTATTGCTCTGTCTCGTTTGTATTGTTCTGTCTCGTTTGTATTGTTCTGTCTCGTTTGAAAGGTTCTGTCTCGTTTGTATTGTTCTGTCTCGTTTGTATTGTTCTGTCTCGTTTGTCTTGTCTGTCTCGTTTGTATTGTTCTATCTCGTTGTATTGTTCTGTCTCGTTTGTATTGTTCTGTCTCGTTTGTATTGTTCCGTCTCGTTTGTATTGTTCTGTCTCGTTTGAAAGGTTCTGTCTCGTTTGCATTGTTCTGTCTCGTTTGTATTGTTCTGTCTCGTTTGTCTTGTTCTGTCTCGTTTGTATTGTTCTATCTCGTTTGTATTGTTCTATCTCGTTTGTATTGTTATGTCTCGTTTGTATTGTTCTGTCTCGTTTGTATTGTTCTGTCTCGTTTGTATTGTTCTGTCTCGTTTGTATTGTTCTGTCTCGTTTGTATTGTTCTGTCTCGTTTGTATTGTTCTGTCTCGTTTGTATTGTTCTGTCTCGTTTGTATTGTTCCGTCTCGTTTGTATTGTTCTGTCTCGTTTGTATTGTTCCGTCTCGTTTGAATTGTTCTGTCTCGTTTGAAAGGTTCTGTCTCGTTTGTATTGTTCTGTCTTGTTTGTATTGCCTGTCTCGTTTGTATTGTTCTGTCTCGTTTGTATTGTTCTGTCTTGTTTGTATTGTTCCGTCTCGTTTGAATTGTTCTGTCTCGTTTGAAAGGTTCTGTCTCGTTTGTATTGTTCTGTCTTGTTTTTATTGCCTGTCTCGTTTGTATTGTTCTGTCTCGTTTTTATTGTTCTGTCTTGTTTGTATTGTTCCGTCTCGTTTGTATTGTTCTGTCTCGTTTGAAAGGTTCTGTCTCGTTTGTATTGCTCTGTCTCGTTTGTATTGTTCTGTCTCGTTTGTATTGTTCTGTCTCGTTTGAAAGGTTCTGTCTCGTTTGTATTGTTCTGTCTCGTTTGTATTGTTCTGTCTCGTTTGAAAGGTTCTGTCTCGTTTGTATTGTTCTGTCTTGTTTGTATTGTTCCATCTCGTTTGTATTGTTCTGTCTCGTTTGAAAGGTTCTGTCTCGTTTGTATTGCTCTGTCTCGTTTGTATTGTTCTGTCTCGTTTGAAAGGTTCTGTCTCGTTTGTATTGTTCTGTCTTGTTTTTATTGCCTGTCTCGTTTGTATTGTTCTGTCTCGTTTGTATTGTTCTGTCTTGTTTGTATTGTTCCGTCTCGTTTGTATTGTTCTGTCTCGTTTGAAAGGTTCTGTCTCGTTTGTATTGCTCTGTCTCGTTTGTATTGTTCTGTCTCGTTTGTATTGTTCTGTCTCGTTTGAAAGGTTCTGTCTCGTTTGTATTGTTCTGTCTCGTTTGTATTGTTCTGTCTCGTTTGAAAGGTTCTGTCTCGTTTGTATTGTTCTGTCTTGTTTATATTGTTCCGTCTCGTTTGTATTGTTCTGTCTCGTTTGAAAGGTTCTGTCTCGTTTGTATTGCTCCGTCTCGTTTGTATTGTTCTGTCTCGTTTGTATTGTTCTGTCTCGTTTGAAAGGTTCTGTCTCGTTTGTATTGTTCTGTCTCGTTTGTATTGTTCCGTCTCGTTTGTCTTGTCTGTCTCGTTTGTATTGTTCTATCTCGTTGTATTGTTCTGTCTCGTTTGTATTGTTCTGTCTCGTTTGTATTGTTCCGTCTCGTTTGTATTGTTCTGTCTCGTTTGAAAGGTTCTGTCTCGTTTGCATTGTTCTGTCTCGTTTGTATTGTTCTGTCTCGTTTGTCTTGTTCTGTCTCGTTTGTATTGTTCTGTCTCGTTTGTATTGTTCTATCTCGTTTGTATTGTTCTGTCTCGTTTGTATTGTTCTGTCTCGTTTGTATTGTTCCGTCTCGTTTGTCTTGTCTGTCTCGTTTGTATTGTTCTATCTCGTCTGTATTGTTCTGTCTCGTTTGTATTGTTCTGTCTCGTTTGTATTGTTCTATCTCGTTTTTATTGTTCTGTCTCGTTTGTATTGTCTGTCTCGTTTATATTGTCTGTCTCGTTTGTATTGTCCTGTATCGCTGTGTAGTGGTTAGCGTACTGGGTAGGTTGCAGACCTCATAGCAACCCGAGTTCGATTCCAGCTCACGGCCAACATTGATAATGTTCAGGTAATTGGGATGTTACATTGTGTGTCTGTGTGCGGGATAACCCCAGAGGAATCCCATGCACAACAGGAGGAGTGAATACAAACTTCACACATTCAACACACTCGTGGCACGCGAGGGGATGGGTAGCCAACACCACGCCCGGCCACCTTTGTCTTCCCGCCATCATGAAGACACAAAGGCACACTCGACCACACTCTCAGATACTTGGTGGCATGACCTCGCTAGATGCTGCGTGCATTGTGGCTTGGCTGAGTCGGATTTCACACCACGGTGCTCAAAAGCGGGTGAGTGATGGGTGAGTGGTGGGTGAGTGGTGGGTGAGTGGTGGGTGAGTGAGTGATGGGTGAGTGGTGAGTGAGTGAGTGAGTGACGGGTGAGTGAGTGATGGGTGAGTGGTGGGTGAGTGATAGGTGAGTGGTAGGTGAGTGAGTGATGGGTGAGTGGTGGGTGAGTGAGTGAGTGAGTGATGGGTGAGTGGTGGGTGAGTGGAGGGTGAGTGGTGGGTAAGTGAGTGAGTGAGTAATGGGTGAGTGGTGGGTGAGTGGAGGGTGAGTGATGGGTGAGTGGTGGGTAAGTGATGGGTGAGTGGTGGGTGCGTGACTGATGGGTGAGTGGTAGGTGCGTGATGGGTGAGTTCATGATCGGCTCGATGGCCTTACTGTCAGATTACCAACCACACATTCAGACGAAGGTTCCATTCCTGCAACCTGGCCCTCTGTTAAGTTGTACAAGGGTTGGTGGATCACACAGAGATGGGTGAAACTCTCAACCTCGCTGCGCTGGGCTTACAATCGCACATACACGTGAGCCAGCCTGCTAATAAAACATTCGCCCTTCTGCGTCAACTCCACTCCCTCTCAATATCAACCCACGGGCGCTGTCAATAGCCACTGTAAAATCACCCCACCTGGCATGGGCAGCGTCAATGAATAAGCCCCCATAATTAAAGTGGGGAGCTTTCCAAAAAATTACCCAACACCCCTCCCCTCTCACCCCCCACCTCTGCCCTCCCCCACCTAAAATCTTCACCCCCCCTCCTTCTCATCACTCCTCTCCTCTCCCCCCACTTCAAAAGTCGCACCCTCTTTCATCCACCTTGAAGCTCCTCCTCTGCTCCTCTCATCCCCCCCACTCACCCCCCCACCGCAATTTCCCACCTCCGCCACCATCCAAATTACCCCCCCCACCGTCCTCTTACTACCCCGGGGACTTGGTGACGTAGCTGACATCACCACGCGCGTCACGACGGGGCGCGGCTTGTTGGGGTTTCCCTCCTTCGAGAGACAGGGGTGTCGCCATTTTTAAAGGGACTCGAGCTAATTCGACCACGGCGACACGCGGTCGATCGAATCACCGGCGTCGAGAATCACTGCGCCACCGCTCGCCACACACCCGCACAACGCAAAGAGACTAAGACACCACGCGTGTTCGGCAAACCACACGGGACAAAGAGCCCCGTAGAAGCCTCGTAGGGAAAAGTGCTGTTAGCGAGAACATCTGAAGGCCGATAGTAGTGGCAAACGAGAGTGTGGGTGGCCCGGTCGCCTTTGTCTCCCCAGTTCTGATGCTCGTGCACTGCACCTGGTACTCATTTGAGGCTGAGTCGACCTTAGGGGGTGGATTTGCGTCACCGATGTTGGCCGTGAGAGAGAATCGAACCCAGGCCTCGCGGGATTAGTCAGCGTCGTGCGCTCCCCACCAGGCACAATACAACATTCATACATAGCACACAGACACACACACCATTGTCGGCGTCACGGCAAAGTGCGAGCTAATCTCCATCTGTCCCTGCGGTATGGGATAGAGTGTTGCCCCCTCGCACGCGTGGGTTTTCTCCGGGCCGCTCCGGTTTCCTCGCACGCGTACAATTGGCTGAAAGCATCTTAGTATGTGAAGGACAGCAGACCTTGGGCAATTGTGTTGTGAGCGCCGGCTGCTGACCGCCTGGCAGCTTTGTGGTTCCTGAGCGATTGCGAGAGATTCCATTTGCGTGAACGAAGCTACACAAAAAGCTACACCGAGATTTTACGATCACTCAGCAATCCAGTGTACACAAAGACCCCCCATATACCCTTTTATAGATTGTCGCGGCAAGTGCCGTTAGCGAGTAGCACCTATGAAGGCCGGCACGGCACACGATGGGATCGGTGGCCATCACCACGCCCGGTCACCTTTGTCTCCCCAGCGGCGATGTTTACACACCGCGCCAGGTACTCATTTGAGGCTGAGTCGACCTTACGGGGAGGCCCGGGCACTGCTTCAGACAATCGTCAATGTTGCTGGCCGCGAGTGGGGCTCGAACTCGGTTCACGGTGGGGTCGGGATCGTAGCGCGGCGCCCTGACCCCACCACACTACGGCTCCACCCCACACAGACCACGCACGACAGCACAACAATAGACACACGGGCGCACACAAAGGGCAGCGCAACTCAAAAACACAATCGGCTACTCGCTCGCGATGCCGTCCTCACGCCGAGTCTCACGCCCTTACTCGCATCTCTGCTGCTGATGTTTAATTTTGTTTTGTTGTTTGCCCCGCTAAGGTACCGCTGAGCTGTGTGGCATCGCAAATGGTAGCTCGCTCAACAAAGTGGCCCGTGGCCGTGTGGAAATGTAGAGCAGCAGCTAAATGACTCTCAACGCCGTGAATTCTAAACGTGTGTGGGGGGGGGGGGCCCGGAGGACTTGCAGCGAAATTCGCGCGACCACGGGGAGCAGAGAGAGGGAGAGGGACGCGCAAACTCAAAATATACAGCAGGGTGCGTGATGTGGAGTCTCACGCAGACCCTCACGCCGGGCGAGAGTCTTACAGCTCCGTGTCAGCGTCTCACCATCTGCAGGCAGCAGACGAAGATGAGCGCGCAGCGACCGGTACAGCACGCCATCCCGGGCGCCGGGGCGGAGCGCCACCACCACCGGCTCGAGAAGCTGGCTGTCGCTCCTGGCAGAAGGAAGGCGGCGATGGCTGTCGTTGTCGTTAGCAGCAGCAGCGGATAGAGCAAGGTGGAGCAGGAGGGATGGTGGCTCGTGCATGGACGTCACTCATTCATCCCGCGATGATGATGATGAGGAGCGGGGATGTCAGGACGTGGGCTCCATGCCGGAGATTTGGCGTCTCCCAACTCCCGCTCTCTCTCTCGCTCTCCTCCCCCCCTTCTCTCTCTCGCTTCCGACTCTCAAGCTATTCCCTTTCTCCCTTCCGCCTCTCCCTCGTCTTCCTCGTCACCCCCCCTCCTCCCCCTCTTCTCCCTCCCCCTCTTCTCCCTCCCCCTCTTCTCCCTCTTCCTTGCTCCCGTCTCTCGTTCCGCTGCCTCGGCCCTTCGTCTCTCGCTCCCACCTCGTCCTTGCGGTCTCCTCCTCCTTCCCCCCCTCCCCCCTCCTCCCCCTCGTCTCGCGCTCACCGTCTCCGACTCCCGCTTCCCTTTCTCGAGGTGTCTCCTCCTCCTCTCTCCCTTCTCTCTCTACTCTCTCCCTTCTCCCTCTCCCGTCTCTCGTCTCTCTCCCCCGTCTCTCTCTCCTCTGTCGTCTCTGTGATGCGCGGCCACACAAAGACCCGTGATTTACATTCACAGCAGCGCTGCGCGCGCACACACACACACACGGCACACACACACACACACATCGCACACACACACACATCGCACACACACACACACATCGCACACACACACATCGCACACACACACACACATCGCACACACACACACATCGCACACACACACATCGCACACACACACATCGCACACACACACACACACCGCACACACACACACACATCGCACACACACACATCGCACACACACACATCGCACACACACACACACATCGCACACACACACATCGCACACACACACACACATCGCACACACACACACACATCGCACACACACACACACATCGCACACACACACATCGCACACACACACACATCGCACACACACACACACCGCACACACACACATGGCACACACACACACCGCACACACACATCGCACACACACACACATCGCACACATCGCACACACACATACACACACATCGCACACACACATCGCACACACACATACACACACATCGCACACACACATCGCACACACATCGCACACACACACATCGCACACACACACATCGCACACACACACACATCACGCACACACACACACACACATCGCACACACACATCACACACACACATCGCACACACATCGCACACACACATCGCACACACATCGCACACACACACACACATCGCACACACACACACACACATCGCACACACACACACACATCGCACACACACACACACACATCGCACACACCGCACACACCGCACACACACATCGCACACACACATCGCACACACACATCGCACACACACACACACACATCGCACACACACACATCGCACACACACACATCGCACACACACACACACATCGCACACACACACATCGCACATCGCACACACACACACACCACACACACACATCGCACACACATCGCACACACACATCGCACACACATCACACACACACATCGCACGCACACAAAGACAAAGATCCCCTGTGTAGCCTTAACATACTTTTTGGGGCAAGTGCTGTTAGCGAGCACCTATGAAGGTGCGTCACCGCCCACAGCGAGGTGGGTGGCCAGCACCCCGCCCGGCCGCCTTTGTCTCCCCAGTGGCGATGTTCACACACGGCCCCAGGTATTAATTTGAGGCTGAGTAGAGCTAGGGGAGGGGACGCCCAGGATCGGTTAATCGACAATCGCCACTGGTGTTGACCGTGAGCGAGACTCGAACTCGGATCGCCGGATTAGTATCGCGATGCACTAACCACTGCACCACCGCTCCCCACACATACACACACACACAAGATGACACTAACATACTCACACCCACTAGGTACACACACAATCACATTCTCTCACGCATACACACAAATACACACGCACAGCAATCGCCTTTCGCCACGAAGTGTCGATTAAATGAGCATTGCGCTTGTGCCAGGCTCGGTGCACCTTGAGGTCACGTGAACAGGCCGACGGCTTGCTGATAGGTCACGGGACAGACTCAGGTGCCGTGGCTTGACTGAGTGAGATGACCGGCAGATGCACCACCCGTGCTCCCTACAGTGCAAACTTGTTGCGATTTAACCGCCCGGCGCTACGCTCGTTGTTGTGAACGTCGCTCTTCCGCCTTCTGTTGTTGCTGGAGGGCGACTGCCTGTGACTGCCCAGGAGCAGCGTCCTTCACGAGCCTCCTCCACAGAGGCCGATCTTGACACCGCTGGTACCAGTCATCGGCAAGTCCACTCAGCTCCACGTCCTCCTGTACCACATCACTCCATCTCTATTCTCTAGCCCGTGCCGCGCCCGTTTAGCCCCCTCGATCTGGCAAAACAGAAGCTGCCTGGGCATGCGGTGGCTGGGCATGCGGGCTACATGACCCAGCCAACGCAGCCTCGCCTGTCGGAGGCGCACACCGATGACAATATGTCCAGATCTTTCAAGGATCTGTGAGCTCCTCACACTATTCACACATAAGCACTTAAACACGAATACACATCCATAATATAGGGGGTTTTTTTCGGGTTAAATCGCGAAAATATGAATGTGTCGTTAAACCCGCCACCACCCGACACAGCTAACTAGTAAGGGTTGTCACGTTAACAGAACGTGACAATTTGTCACTAGTCCAGCACACCGGTGTGTTGAGTAGGATGTTTCGCCAGTAATTACAACTAACTTCATCAGGCGACAAATACAAAGACATAGACCCCCCCCCCTCCCGTAAGCCTTACACCGACTGCTGGGGCAAGTGCTGTTAGCGAGTAGCGCCTATAAAGTAGAACCTATAAAGTAGTACCTATAAAGTAGTACCTATAAAGTATAACCTATAAAGTAACACCTATAGAGTGACACCTATAAAGTGACACCTATAAAGTGGCACCTATAAAGTAGAACCTATAAAGTAGTACCTATAAAGTAGTACCTATAAAGTAGCACCTATAAAGTAGCAACTATAAAATAGCACCTATAGAGTGACACCTATAAAGTGACACCTATAAAGTGGCACCTAAAAAGTAGAACCTATAAAGTAGCACGTAAAAAGTGGCACCTATAAAGTAGCACCTATAGAGTGACACCTATAAAGTACCACCTATAAAGTAACACCTATAAAGTAGCACCTATAAAGTAACACCTATAAAGTAACACCTATAAAGTAACACCTGTAAATTAGCACCTATAAAGTAGAACCTATAAAGTAACACCTATAAAGTGGCACCTATAAAGTAGTACCTATAAAGTAACACCTATAAAGTAACACCTATAAAGTAACACCTATAAAGTGGCACCTATAAAGTAGTACCTATAAAGTAGCACCTATAAAGTGGTGCCTATAAAGTAAAACCTATAAAGTAACACCTATAAAGTAGCACCTATAAAGTAGCACTTATAAAGTAGCACCTATAAAGTAACACCTATAAAGTAACACCTATAAAGTAGCACCTATAAAGTAAAATCTATAAAGTAGCACCTATAAAGTAACACCTATAAAGTAACACCTATAAAGTAACACCTATAAAGTGGCACCTATAAAGTAGTACCTATAAAGTAGCACATATAAAGTGGCGCCTATAAAGTAACACCTATAAAGTAACACCTATAAAGGAGCACCTATAAAGTAGCACCTATAAAGTAACACCTATAAAGTGGCACCTATAAAGTAGAACTTATAAAGTAGAACCTATAAAGTAGCACCTATAAAGTGGCACCTATAAAGTAGCACCTATAGAGTGACACCTATAAAGTACCACCTATAAAGTAACACCTATAAAGTAGCACCTATCAAGTAACACCTATAAAGTAACACCTATAAAGTAACACCTATAAAGTAGCACCTATAAAGTAGAACCTATAAAGTAACACCTATAAAGTGGCACCTATAAAGTAGTACCAATAAAGTAAAACCTATAAAGTAACACCTATAAAGTAACACCTATAAAGTGTCACCTATAAAGTAGTACCTATAAAGTAGCACCTATAAAGTGGTGCCTATAAAGTAACACCTATAAAGTAACACCTTTAAAGTAACACCTATAAAGTAGCACCTATAAAGTAGCACCTATAAAGTAACACCTATAAAGTAACACCTATAAAGTAACACCTATAAAGTAGCACCTATAAAGTGGCGCCTATAAAGTAAAACCTATAAAGTAGCACCTATAAAGTAGCACCTATAAAGTAGCACCTATAAAGTAACACCTATAAAGTAACACCTATAAAGTATCATCTATAAAGTAGCACCTATAAAGTAACACCTATAAAGTAATACCTATAAAGTAGCACCTATAAAGTAACATCTATAAAGTAGCACCTATAAAGTAACACCTATAAAGTAACACCTATAAAGTAGCACCTATAAAGTAGCACCTATAAAGTAAAACCTATAAAGTAACACCTATAAAGTAACACCTATAAAGTAACACCTATAATGTGGCACCTATACAGTAGCACCTATAAAGAAACACTTATAAAGTAACACCTATAAAAAACACCTATAAAGTAACACCTATAAAGTAGAACCTATAAAGTAGCACCTATAAAGTAACACCTATAAAGTAACACCTATAAAGTAGCACCTATAAAGTAGCACCTATAAAGTAGCACCTATAAAGTAACACCTATAAAGTAGCACCTATAGTAACACCTATAAAGTAACACCTATAAAGTAACACCTATAAAGTAACACCTATAAAGTAACACCTATAGAGTAACACCTGTAAAGTAACACCTATAAAGTAACACCTATAAAGTAACACCTATAATGTGGCACCTATAAAGTAACACCTATAAAGTAGAACCTATAAAGTAGCACCTATAAAGCAACACCTATAAAGTAACACCTATAAAGTAACACCTATAAAGTAGCACCTATGAAGTAGCACCTAAAGTAACACCTATAAAGTAACACCTATAAAGTAACACCTATAAAGTAACACCTTTAAAGTAACACCTATAAAGTAACACCTATGAAGTAGCACCTATAAAGTAACACCTAGAAAGTAGCACCTATAAAGTAGCACCTATAAAGTAGCACCTATAAAGTAGCACCTATAGTAACACCTATAAAGTAACACCTATAGTAAAACCTATAAAGTAACACCTTTAGTAACACCTATAAAGTAGCACCTATAAAGTAGCACCTATAGTAACACCTATAAAGT